AAACACACACACACACACACACACACACACACACACACACACACTCAAAGAAATGGAAACAGCAAATAGTTACATGAAAAGATGCTCAAGTATACAAGTCATTGAAGAAAGAGAAGTTAAAACAAGATACATTTTTGTCCAATAGATTAGAGAAGTCACAGAGGTTTGATATTGAGCTAGAGAGGATGGCGTGTGTGTGCATGTGTGTATATGTGTGCATGCATGCTTGTCTGTCTGCGTGCCTGCATATGCGTATGTGTACGTAAGGGGGGAGGGTTGGGAGATCAGCCTCCCTTCTGAGCAAACAGAAGACCCAGTATCCCAGACCCAGAAGAGCTTATTCTAGACCTTTCTGGCTTTGGGTTACTTTTCCACACATAATGAGGAATCTAGGGATGGGCCTGGGTTGAAACAAGGAGTTCATTTACGGTTTATATCTATCTTGTTCCCATAGCCTAGAGGTATTAAAATACTTTAAATGGTGTTATGCACAAAACCCACGTTGCGCGGTGCAGACCCTTTCACTCCGGATGGGCCATTGACACTGGAACGTTTCCTGGTTCAGAGCATTTAAGATGCAGGCTTTGACCAGGGATGCACAGCCTCCGTTGCCTTCTGAGCAGCATGTTGGGGGGACCCAGCATACTTCACAATGCGCCTCATTTTGTGCACAGCCCCTGCTGAGCACCTGCCCCAGGGCCACAGCCAGGGGGCCTGGCTCTCCAGCCAGAGCTGTCCGTGTCTGCGTTGGCCTGCGCTGTGTCCCCTGCCTTACTAAAGCCCCTTGTTTTCTTGGGGCAAACCTATCATTTAACACCAACACCCAACTCATTCCCAGGGCAAAAGGAAGCTTGTGGTTTGTGTGTGTGTTTTTCTTTTTAAAGAAAAGCTAAGATATAACTGTGAAGAGTTCACAATGGGAAGCTGCTAAAAACCACGACCCAGCCAGGCGCCGGTGGCTCACGCTTATAATCCTAGCTACTGAGGAGGCTGAGATATGAGGATCACAGTTCAAAGCCAGCCCAGCCAAGAAAAGTCTGTGAGACTCTATCTCCAATAAACCACTAGAAAACTGGAAGTGGTGCTGTGGCTCAAACGGCAGAACGCTCGCCTGGAGCTGAAGAGCTGAGGAACAGCGCCCAAGCCCAGAGTTCAAGCCCCACAACTGACCAAAAAACCCCCCAAACCCACCACCCAAACAGCTGTGGGATGAGGTGGAGACAAAGCTGGAGAAACTCAGGGAGGGTGACAGACCCTGGAGTATCCACCACCAAGGTCACATCTGGGTCACTCTTTGTTTCTTTTAAATAAGGAAAATGTATTAGTAAATAACTTAGGCAATTTAAGAACATTTAAAAATGAGGTGGCAGCACTGTTCACAATAGCCAGGATATGGAAACCACCCAGATACCCCACTACAGATGAATAGATAAAAAAATTGTGGTACCTATAGACAATGGAATATTATGCAGCCATTAGAAAGGACAAAATAATGGCATTCGCAAGGAAATGGATGGAACTAGAAGAAGTCACGTCGAGTGAGGTAAGCCAAGAGCAAAGAGACTAATGGCACATGGTCTCTTTGATAAGTGGATGTTAAATCCAAAATGTAAGGTGATACAACAAAGTAAATAAGACTTGAGAAATAAAGGACCTCCACTCATCTGATTGAATTACTAAATACTAAATAACCTCATGCTGCTGATCACATATATGGTATATATGTGCACATCTGAGGGAAACTAGGAGGACACAGAACGAGAGGGAAACAGGAGAAAACATACAACAGTGGGACCCAGCAGCTTCTCTGGCCATTGATCAAAACGAACTAAGCAACACAATGGCAGCAATGGGAGGGAGGGAATGAGTGGGAAAGAGGGAACAGCTGACACTAAGCAAAAGGAAAGGAATGTACATATCACCTGATTGGAAGGAATAACTGTATTGTCAAAGCTCATAGAACTCATATACTTTATAGACCATGATAGACAATTTGCCCCATGAAGGTTAGAATGTGTTTGTGACTTTAAGTATCACTATCTCACAATACTGTGAAATTTGTGAAATTATGTAACCACTTAATCACAATAAAGAATTTGCAAAAAAAAATGAGGTGACACTTTATCTGTACGAGGATGTCTTTAACTGTTCACTTCATCCTTTTCTTTTTTATCCTATCCCATTCTGTCTGGTAATAGGGTGGATTTACTGTTTTGGTTTCTTTTTGGTTAGGGCATGGGGCTTGAACCCTGGGCCTGGGTGCTGCCCCTCAGCTCTTCAGCTCAAGGCTAGCCCTCTACCACTCCAGCCACAGCCCCACTTCTGATTTTCTGGTGGTTTATTAGAGATAAGAGTCGTGTGGACTTTCCTGCCTGGGCTGGCTATGAACTTCGATCCTCAGATCTCAGCCTCCTGAGTAGCTAGGATTATAGGCGTGAGCCACCAGCGCTCAGCCTGGTTTACTTTTTTAATCCATTGAATCTCTGGACCTTGCACTTGTGAAGCTGGTGCTCTTCTTCTGCTGAATCCTACTTTTTGCTAGTTTATTTATTTATTGTCAGTCATGGGGCTAGAACTCTAGGCCTCATCTCTTCAGCTCAAGGCGAGTGCTCTACCCCTTGAGCCACAGCGCCACTTCCAATTTTCTGGTGGTTTATTGGAGATAAGAGTCTCACGGACTTTCCTGCCAGGCTGGCTTTGAACTGTGATCCTCAGCTCTCAGGCTCCTGAGCAGCTAGGATCACAGGCATGATTTCATTTTCTTTTTTAGGTAGGGTCTTGCTTCCCATCTAGGCATGTTCCTCAGCAGTAATCTGCCTGCTCTGGGGCTCCGTAGTCTCTGGGCTGGCAGGCACATGCCACTGCGTCCAGCTTCCCTCTGTGGAACCTCAGCTTAGCCAGGTCCCTCCATTCTCCCAATCTCAGCCTCCCTTGTAGCTTGAGGTACAAGTACACACCACCACACCCAGTTACGGGCTGAGAAGGGATCTCGTGAACTTTTCTGCACAAGCGGGGCTCTAACTATGATCCTTTTATTCTCAGCCTCCAACCTAGAATTACAGGTGTGGCCTCCAAAGCTACATTTATGGTTATGGCTTAGGTCTGAGGTTTGATTTTTTTTCTGCCTCTTTGCCATTTGCAGTCCTTTCCTATGTAATATAAAAAGGCCTTCTTTTTCTCTTTTAGTTCCATTCATGTTGTAAAACTTTATACATATATGTTTTTAAGTTCTGCATATTTAGGATTTCTCTCTACATTACACTGAAATTTCATTTTTTTTAAAAGTAATAAAGCTGGGTGCCAATGGCTCACACCTGTAATCCTAGCTACTCAGGAGGCTGAGGTCTGAGGATTGTGGTTTGAAGCCAGCCAGGCTGGAAAGTCCGTGAGACTCTTATCTCCAATTAACCAGCAAAAAGCCAAAAGTGGAGCTATGGCTCAAGTGGTAGAAAGCCTTAGGAGAAAAAAACTAAAGGACAGCACTTAGGCCCTGAGCTCAGGCCCCAGGATGGCACACCAAGAAAAACTCCAGTGAAGTCTTGACACAGCCATTTACAAATCACTGCTCATAAGCTACAAGGGAGGTCAACGTTTAGACACATTTCTGATTCTGTGGCAGCCGCCCAGGTGAGCCAGTCCCTCAACGAACAGTTTCATCTAGGCCTCCCTTGGATCAAAACTACGGTAAAGCTGAGTCTGGGGTTGATGGCGCAGTCAGGAGCTGGTCTCAGCCTCTTTAACTGTGTGTGTGGTCTGTTTTTGTTTTGTTTTTGCTTTTTATTTATTTAAGAGAATTGGGGGGGATGTCATTGTGTAGTTCAGGCTGTGTTCAAGCGGCCTCTTGCCTCAGCTTCCCAAATGGCCGGGCTATTCTGCCTTTTAGATAATCAATAAGAGAAAATGTTTCTACAGAAACAGGAGCCACCGGGCGTGACTGGGGGGTGGGGGGACGGGGAGGAGGAACAGTAAGGAAGGTCCAGCTGCGGGAGGTGCGGGAGGAGGGGCGTATGAGGGCACAGAGTGGGAAGCTGGTCCCCAAAGCTCTTCAATATCCATTCTCGAAATTTCTCAGTCAAGGGGTCCCTGGGGTCAGGAGCGGAGCGAGGCTTGGTGGTGGAGCCCTGGCCTAGCATTCAGGAGGCCCTGGGTTCCATCACTGGCAGGGCTTGTGTATGTACAAAATTCACAAGAAACATGCATTGGCATACCTACAATTAATTCCTCTCCCGGCCTCTCTCCTTACCATCCACTCTCTGCCCCTGTATCTCTACCCATGCATCTCCCAGCGCCCAAATGATCTTTATCGGACTGAAACCAACAATCCCATTTCTCAACACACACACACACACACACACACACACACACACACACACACACACAGTTACTGGGCATTTTTCATCGATTATTTCTCTCTGGTTGTAACAAAGCATTAGGCAGCTCACCGGCCCTCCCTCAGCCTCCTCCCTGTCAGTCACCTGGACCACCACAGGAAGGGCTGAGTGACAGTCCTGAGTCCCAAATTTCTGCACATTTGTAGGAGTAGGGGGCCGCCAGGGGACAGGCACAAGGGTTCATCTCTCAGAGCCCCTCTCCTTCCCAGTTCAAATGGCCCCAGAATAAAGCTGGGGCATGGGACCAATGTCCGTAACGTATAGTAAACTGGAGTCATTTTCAAATTCAGTCTCAGCTACTGCTTGGACTCCTCCCGTGTGACAGGAAGGTCCCCCAATAATAAAGGAGGATGCACCCCTCCTCCCCCCCAACACACACCAGCTTCTGACCTAGAGAAACAGTGGGAAACAGTGATCACTCCCAGCCTGTTCTGGGCAGATGAGGCTGGCTGGTGACCCAGCACCGCCGTCCCTGCCAGGGCTCACCTCCTGCAGCCTGACTTCCTCCGGCTGAAGGATGTCCAGCACGCCACTGCTCCGGATCTCAGGCAGATCCTGCCAGAGGTTGAACCTGGAATGGGGATTACTGAGCAGGCAGATCTGGGGCAGAGCTTTCCTCTCAGGCGGGCTTATGGGTTCCTCCTCTTCCTCCTCCTCTTCCTCCTCGTCTGGGGTGTCTTCCCCCGTTGGGGACCCTTCTTCATTGTCTTGGATTTCTGCATCTTGTTGCCTCCTGGTTTCAATTTCTTGGAGAGTGGATTTATCTCTGTATTCTTGATACAGGAGCCCTGAAATCAAAAGAGTTGTAGTCAGGAAGACAGAGAAGATTTCAGATAAAGACCATCGCCAGTCTCCAAGGCAAGGAGGCTTCTGTTCTTCTCTGGAGAGGATACAGGTTGGGAATGGTGGCTCCCACCCACCATCCCAGCTACTGGGGAGAGACGTGAGTAGGGAGATCACGGGCTGAGGCCAGCCTCTAAAACACAAGACTCTATCCGAAAAAGAACAAACGAGGGCTGGGATGTGGCTGAAGTGACGAATGCCAAGAGACTGAGTTCAAACCCAAGTATGAGGGGGCGGGGAGAGGGTCTAGCTGATGCCCAGCAGGCTCCAGGATCATCATTTCTGGGGAAGATGGGCATGTGTAAGTTTTTACCAACAAATAAAAAAAATCCAAGCTGGGCGCCGATGGCTCACGCCTGTAATCCTAGCAACTCAGGAGGCTAAGATCTGAGGATCATGGTTCAAAGCCAGCCTGGGCAGGAAAGTCCATGAGACTCTTATCTCCAATTAACCACTAGAAAACCAGAAGTGGCGCTGTGGCTCAAGTGGTAGAGCGCTAGCCTTGAGCTGAAGAGCTGAGGGACAGGGCCCAGGCCCAGAGTTCAAACCCCATGATCAAAAAAATAAAATAAAATAAAGAAATTCCAAATAAATTCAGTTCAGTCACACAAATATATGCGTTCCCCATACATGCTGGGCAAAACTAGAACGTAGATTGTGTTCATAACCATGTATGCAAAGTGCATGGAAATGTCCTGATCATGTTTTGATATCCCAGCAGGATCGTTTCCACAGCCTTGAGTGCTTCAGTATTAAGAGTCAAGTCTATTCACCCATGTGTGGAGAGCAGAGTAGCTGTTAAGTTTCTGTGCTAAAGAATGAACTAGGGTTTCATCGAGCAGAAGACCGTAAAGAGAAGCACAGCATTTTTCAGCATTCAGCCCTGTTCCCTGACCCACTGTACTTCAGTGCCTTCCGCGTCCCAGGGGCGGTTTTGGGGTACAGAATAATCTGAACAAACACAGCATCCCATGGGCAAAGCCCATCTGGTCTGTCCTGGCTGTGGGGTGGAGGGCCTGGCTGAGCAAGGACAGGGAGGGGTGATCCTGTCTGCCCTAAGGTCGGGGAGGGGGTGGGGGGGAGAGGGAGTCTTGTTGGAGGCAGGACTCTCCCGAGTGTGTGTGTTGGGGGAGAGACCCCAGGAGACTCCAGGCAAGCAGCTGATCTGCTTGTGCAGAGGAGCTTGGCTGAGAAGGACACGGCTGCGGTGTTTCCGGAATGACAAAGGAGGCCTCCATGAAGGGCAGGGAAAGGCCGGGGGCCCACCTAGGGCCCAGTGGCAAGCTAGAAGCTGAAGCCCACCACGGGCTGGCACTGGGTCCGGAGCAGTCCAGGCTTCTAACGTGGCAAGGCTGTCTGCTGCCTCCTTCGAGGGAGATGGGGGACAGGAGTGCAGGGTCTGGGGGGGGTGGTAGAGAAGTGGAAAATGCAGCTGGGGTCCCCAGTGGAGGGGCTCTGTTGGACCACTGGGTGCATCTACACAGAGCCTAGATAAGCAAGCGGCCAGGTCCCCTGGATTTGTCCAGGAAGGTTCCAGAAAGGCTTCACGAATCACGTGGGAAGGTTTCGCTGCGGGCGTGAGCTGCCATCCCTCCTTCACATGTTTAACACATCTAAGCAGCGGCCAGGGAAAGGAAGAGAAGCCAACTGCAGGGCAAATCCCCAATACGGCTGGATGAGGCGCGTGCGTGAGCGGGGGCCGGGGAGCCCCTGTGCATTCAGCAGCCAGGTCAAGCCTTCATTTGGGGGGAGACAGCATGACCTGATGATTTTTCCCCTGTGGGATTGCAAGATTTCCAGCCAGCAGAATGTGACATGGCTGCGACACGAGGTTCATGTGACAAAGGAATGAACAAAGAACAGGAGAGGCTACATGACACGTGGCCCCGGGTTGAACAGGTGCTAGTGAAGTCTCCAGTTACCCAGAAACCCCTCCTCTGCAGCAGGTTACTTGGTATCCCACCATGTGGATGCCCTTGGTGGCCACTGCCTGGCTGAGCCGGGCTGAGGAAGCATGGGGTCTCACCTGCCTCGGCCTCGGCCAGCTTCAGAGCTCGGAGGCTGAGATCTGAGGATCGCAGTTCAAAGCCAGCCAGGACAGAAAAGTCCACGAGACTCTTACCTCTAATCAAATACTCAGAAAAAGCTGGAGGTGGCTGTGGCTCAAGTGGCAGAGCACTAGCTTTGAGCACAAAAAGCAGCTCAGGGACAGCGCCCAACCTCTTAGTTCAAGCCAGCCTTGTGGGCAGTGGGGCTGCCGTGGTATTTCTGAAAGCGCATGGTGGCGTGGGCTGTCTCTCCTTGGTCCCCTCGTGTGGGCTGGGAGGGGTTGCTCTCTGCGTGACCTATTCTGGGCTGGGGTGGGGGAGGAAAGGTGGGGGGAGAGGGCCAGGTCCCTGCCTTCCACCAGTGCGGAGTCTAGGCATGGACACCGTCACCAGCTGGTGGCTATGGTCTGATGGCTAGTCTCCTCACTCCTCCTCAAATGTCCATGCTGGAATCTAACACCCCTGGTGACAGTGTCAGGGGTGGGTGGGGCCCTCGAGGAAGCTATTCCCACGAGGGGGAACAGGACTTCTATAGAGGAGGCCAGGGACCAAGTGTATCACATGACTGAGATCCGAGGATCATGGTTCAAGGCCAGCCTGGGCAAGAAAATCCACGAGACTCTCATTTCTAATTAACCACCAAAAAGCAGTAAGTAGAGCTGTGGCTCAAGTAGTGAAACACCAACTTTAAGTGTTAAAAGTAAGCAACAGTGCCCAGATCCTGATTAAAGGAGGGGAGGAAGTCTCCCTTCCACCACAGGAAACTTCTAGAAGATGCTATGAAGCACAGCGTGGCTCTCAGCAGACACAGGATCTGATGGTGTCGAGCCTCGGGGCTTCCGGCATCCAGAACTGGATTTGTGAATCACCCGGAGATGGGGTTTGGTTGTGGCCGGTGGAGGTTCATGCTGGCTTGGTCCCCAGTATGGGGATGTTGAGGCAGAAGAGAATCAAGTTCAAGAAGGCACTGTTCTAAAAGCAGAGGCCCGGTCCCGGATCCTCGGACTTCCTGACTTGGTGCTCCGTCCTTCGCACATCACGATGTAATGTCCCAAACCATGACGTCACCCACCATTTGTGATAGAGCCAGCAACGGCTGGAGCCAGGCTCACAGACCCACAAATATAAACCCAATAAACCTCTGCTCTGTGAAAAGTTCCTGCCTCTACTACTTCATTACAGTCACACAAAACAGCCTCAGGAACCCAGTCTAATACTGGGCCAGGAGGGGAAGGGAACATCTCCTAAGGGCTTCTCAGAAAAGTGCCCCTTCCAAAGTACACTTGAAGACAAACTGCCCTTCCGGCTTCTACAGACCACTGCTTGAGGGCTATGGCAGCCATCTGGTAACACGAGGCCCAAGAGAAGAAAGGAAAGGAGAAAAACAGCTGAGTGCTTGTTTGGGGTGTGAACCAACTCTGGAACTTCCCGCCTCTCAACTCTTTAACGGAGACAGCCTGTGTCAATTGTTTAGGATTGCTTTTTGTTTTTTTAAATGAATATCCTGTTGCTTGTAGCCAAAAGACTTACAATAAAAGTAACTTTAGGACTTCTATATTGTGTTTTTTTTTGGTGGGGGTCCTGTCTTGGGGCCTGAACTCTGGGCCTGGGCGCTGTCCCTCAGCTCCTCAGCTCAAGGCTAGCACTCTACCACTTGAGCCACAGCACCACTTCCGGCTTTTTTCTTTTTGCTTATGTGGTGCTGAGAAATCAAACCCAGGACCTCATACATGCAAGGCAAGCACTCTACCACTGAGCCACCTTCCCAGCCCCACTATTTTGTGTTTTTTTGGTAGTCCTGGAGTTGTAACTCCGGGCTTTGCACTTGATAGGCAAAAGTTCTACCACTTGAGCCATATCATAGAACCATATCATAGAACCTCTCTGTTATGGTTATTTTTCAAATAAGGTCTTCATTTTTGTCCAGGCCAACCTGGACAGCAATCCTCCTGTTTTAGTCCAGCCTCATGCCCAGATTTTTCTGTTGAGATGAGGTATTGCAAATTGTTTATTTCAGGTGCCCTGGAATCTTAGTCCTTTCCTTGTAGCTTGGATGACAAGCATGTGGCACTCTGCCCAGCTATTAGTTGAGAGGAGGGTCTGACTAGCTTTTTGCTCAGGCTGGCCTCAAACCATGATCCTTCTGATCTCCACCTCCCAAGTAACTAAGAAGACAGGCTTAAGTTACCAGCACCTGGCAATATTTAGGATGCAAAATACATACCTGTGGGCAGGTATATATTTGGGCACATGATGTAACCATTTTCTATAACTTTTCTTTTTGCGGGTGTGCCTTAAATTCAGATTACCATACAAAAATATTTACCAAGAAATTCTACGTTATGATAAAAGCTGTACTATTATATCATGTCTTCTTATTTTATATTGTGGACTTAGTAGACACAATTTCATGTGGACGTTAGCTTTCCAGGCAAAAGGTAGCACTCATAGCTAGGTACAGTGGCTCAAACCTATACTTGAGAGGTACCCGGTACTTGGGAGGTGGAAACAGGGGAGAGTGGCTGAACACAAGCTTGAGTATGAAGTTTCAGATGATGTTATCTTAGCCAGTGTTCGGTGCGGTGGAACGTGCCTGTTATCCCAGCTACGGGTGAAGCATTATGGGCACAGGCCTGTCATGCCAGTGATAAAGGGAGACCCATTGCAATAGGAGGATCACAGTCCAGGCCTACCTCAAAAACAACCATGTGTTAGCTTGGTGCTTGTGGCTCAACACCTGCAAATCTTAGTTACCCAGGAGGCTGAAATATAAGGATTACAATTTGAAGCCACTCCAGGTAGGAAAGTCCATGAGACTCTTAATTAGCCAATTAATCACCAAGAAAACCCCAAATGTGGTGCTATGACTCAAGTGGCAGAGTGCTAGTCTTGAGCACTAAAGCTTAGGGACAGTGCCCAGCCTCTGAATTCAAGCCACAAAACTGGCACAAAAAACAAACAACAAGGGGCTGGGAAGGTGGCTCAGTGGTAGAGTGCTTGCCTTGCATGCCTAAGGTCCTGGGTTCAATTCCTCAGCACCACATAAGCAAAACGAAAAAAACAACAAACAACAAGCCAGGTGCCGGTGGCTCATGCCTGTAATCCTAGCTACTCAGGAGGCTGAGATCTGAGTATCTTGGTTCAACGTCAGCCTGGGCAGGAAAGTCTGTGAGACTCTTATCTCCAATAAACCACTAGAAAACCAGAAGTGGAGCTGTGGCTCAAGTGATAGAGCACTTGCCTTGAGCTGAAGAGCTGAGGGACAGCGCCCAAGCCCAGAGTTCAAGCCCCACAACAACAACAACAACAACAAACATATCTTGTCGTGTATTGGTAGCTCATGCTTGTAATCCTACCTACTCAGGAGGCTGAAATATGGAAGATGGCCTGCAAAGAGCATGAATGGTAGTGTGACTCAGGCGGTAAGAGTGCCAGCCAAGCAAGCAAGCACAGTGAGCACAATACCCTGAGTTTAAACGCCTGAACCAGCCAAAAATAAATAAGTAACTATCTCAATAATAACCACCCAGAAAAAAGTATTGGAGAACTGGGTCAAGCAATAAACTGCCTGCCCTGAGTCCAACCCCAAGTACTACCAAATAATAATAATAATAAAAGTAAAGCTTACACTTGCGCTGTTATATGCAAGTGGGACCAGAAGGCTGTTCTAACTGAAGCCGTCTGTACCAGGCTGGCGTCTGTACCAGGCTGGCGTCTGTACCAGGCTGTCTGGCTGTGGTCCCTGCAGAGGGTGAGGATGTCCCCAGCTCCTCTGGCTAATGTCCTCAAAGCCATTCAAAATCTCTCTTTTGGAATTTTTTTTTCTTTGAGTAAATACTTCAAGTGGGAAGTTGTAAAGGGCAAAGGATTCATTCATTATTTAATGAGCAACTTCTTTGTGCCAAGCATTGTGTTAGGTGCTATAGAGTAATGCGCACACGCACACACACACACACACTCAAGCACACAAAATCACCACAGCCACTGTGCTGACAGGTAGATAGAATATTACACATAGTCCCAGACAGAAGTCTGTCTGGTGTTGGTGACAGCCATGCAAAATTCAGCAAGATGTTCTGTATAACACCATCAGTCCATTCTATTCTCCACCCCCCCCAATTCCTTGAGGTCCTCAGGAACCAGTGCCCTTCCCTGACACCTGACAGAGCCCCTTCTCTCCAGGCTTAACACGGTCATCAGGTCTACAACCAAGAGCTGTGAGGTGGGCCAGGGGCCCATGACTCCTCCCCATGACACCTACAGGCCCTAGCAGCAGCCACGGAAAAGGATTCAACATCAGAGTTTCCCTGTCTGACAGAGGAGGAAACTGAAGCAGAGACCAGGCTCAGCGTCTTGGAGCTCCTGCTCTGAGGCCGCGGGCACAGCATGTAGGAAGGAAGCCCCTGCGGCTCATAGCACAGCCAGGGCATCTGAGAGGGATACAGATCTCTTCACAGCGCTGACCCTGATCTGAGCCACTAAGAGGCAGAAGTCAATTCCCATTACAGACAAGCAGATGAGGTCACGTGGCAGGCCTCACTATGCATTGAAGGACGGGTGGGTGGCAGAGAGCTGGAAGGAGGGGGCATTTGGGAGCTTGTTTCAAAACCAGGATTTCCTAACTGGCATGGGTTTGAGATCAGCCCATCTCAGCCCCTCCAGAAAATAACTGAAAAACCACCAGCAGCCCCCAGCCTGTAATTCAGGGGACAGGGGCCAAGCATACATGTGAGCACATCACCTCAGCTGGCAGGGCCTCTGGCTCCAGGCAGAGCAGGAGCCAAGAAGCCCTGAACCGCCAGGCATGGTGCCCATTGGGAGTTGGCTTCCACCCTGCACACACTTTGTGCCTGTCCTAGGGACTCAAGGATGATTATATATTTAGGAGAATTTTTTGGAATCTAGAATTTTTATTGAAACAAATGGACTACCGGCTGCTTTGACAACATCAAAGATTATTTTCTAGGCAGCCCAGACCATTTTCAGACTAAGGAAACCACATCATCCATTCACTGTTGCCCCTGGTGACAACAGGAGAACTAGTTTGATGTCACTAGCTTTTCTTTCTTTCTTTCTTTTAATACAAATGCTGGAGTTGTTGGGACACAGTTGCTCCCCTTTGGGGATATGTGGGGCTTTCCCACCCCCATCCCCCAAGCTTTACAGGAGCTCACAGACACCCACATATGTTCCCAAGGGCCTCCCAGGGGACACATTCCGGGAGAGGTTTTTCTGCAACCGCTGGGCTCCCTCTGCCTGTACTTTACCTTTCCTACCCCTGCAACGTGGTCACATAGCCTGGCTCTCCCCAGAAGCCCCAGGGCGCACATCTTCAGCTCCAACTGTAGCTGGGGGAGCTGGGGCGGTGTGAACCCCCCCTCCCCGGGCAGCACAGCTGGCTGGGGCGGGGTGGGGGAGGGGAAGGAGGTTCAAGGTGTGTCACCTTCTTTTTGGCAATCACGACCTGGGACAGAAAGCCACCGTTCGCCGAGAAGGACTGGGCCAAGGTGTCTCTCCGACAGAGAAGTGGACTAAGTGAACGCAGGGGTACCGCGGGAACCCGAAGCGCCCGGGGTGCATAATGTCACACGCGGCAGGCCTTGGCGAGGGGCCCCTCGGGGGCGCCGGCACGGCACGCACGTGGCGCGGGGCGCGCGCGGGCGGGCCACCCACCTATCTGCTCGATGAGGTTCCTCCAGGAGTCGGCGGGAATGGGGTGGATCCTCTGCAGGGCCTCGGTGAGGGTCGTCGGGCTGTCGGCCAGCGCCGGGCACTCCTCGGGCGTGGTCGCGTTTCCCGGGGTGGAGGACGACTCGCTGCCAGGAGGGAGGAGGGCACAGCTGGTGATTTGAAAGCGACGCCACACCTCGCGGGGTTCCCAGCGGGGTCCGCGCCCCGCGGCCGCCCCGCAGGGCTCTGCCCAGGGCATCGGGCAGGCGGAGGGGCCCCGAAGTGACCGCCGCCTTCCAGGTCGGGGCCCCGCAACACTCCCCCCCCCTTTTTTGTCACCGCACCGGGGCGCCTCGGGTGATTCATCCCCACGCCAGCCCGCCCAAACCTTCATGTTTTCGAGCTGGAAAGTTGGCGCGCCCTGCCCGCTCCGGGGCGCCGGCCCAGAGGCCGCCCCGACGGCTCCTGGGGTCTCTTGCGGCTCACGGCCGCCGTGCGACCCCAGCCCCGTTCAGGCTCGGACCCTCTCCCCTCCCTTCCCATCCCAAGGGCGCCTTGCGCGCAGAGGGGCGCCGGGCAGGACGCGCGCGCGCCCCGGGCGTCTG